CGGGGCCGGGCCAGCGCAGCGCAGCGCCCGGCGAGGCGGAAGAGGGCGAGCGGAAGACGCGCGGGCTGCGGTGGCGCCCCCGCCGCCTGCTGCCCCCGCCGCCCGGAGCGCACGGGCGCGGGCGCCTGCAGCGCCCTGGGGGGCGCGGGGCGCCGGGGCCATGCGGGTGTTCCTGCGCCTGGGGGGCTGCCTGGAGCCGGGGGGGCCCGCGGAGCGCGTGCTGCTGACGCGGACGCGCTGGTACTGCCTGCCCGTGAAGGTAGGCGCGGGCGGGCGCGCGGGCGGGCGGGCGGCGCGGGCGGAGACACGCGTCCCGCTGACACGCGTGCCCCCGCAGGCGCCCGTGACCCTGCGGGAAGAGGCGGACGAGGGCGTGATCTACACCGTGGCCTCGCGACCACCCGGGGGCGCCCGAGGCCGCGCCGGTGGCGAGGTAAGTGGCGGGGACCGATGCGCTCGGGCGGGCAGGCGGGCGGGCATGGGGCGCGCTCGGCACCGCGCACCGGGACGCGCCTCCCGCGCTCACGCCCCCTCTCTCCCCCCTCCCCGGCAAGGAGGCGGCGGGGCCCGGGACCCCCGCCGGGCAGTCGCGGGTGCTGAAGGCCGGATCGCTGCCCCGGCTGGCTCGGCACCTGCTGGAGGCCGCCGCGCTCGGGGACGCCTGCTACGTGCCCGCCTTCCTGGCCACCTACCGGACCTTCGCCGCACCGCACGTGGTGCTGGGACTGCTGCTGGACAGGTGCGCCCTGGCTGTGCTTTTCTGTGGCGGCTTGACAGGCAGGAGTTTGTTTATATATTTATTTATTTATTAAAACATTTCTATGCTGCCCCATTCGCCAAAGCCTTGGGGCGGCTCACTACATTAGGTTAAAATACAAGAAATAACGATATAAAATAAGTCATCCTGGCCAGATAAAATAATAATATTAACAATTAAAATGCTGCTTATATAAAAAGGGCTTCGCCTGGCGCCGAAAAACAAATGACCGCGCCAGGCGGACCTCTCTGGGGAGCGCATTCCACTGATTGGGCGCCACCGCAGAGAAAGCCCTCCTCCGAGTACCTACCCTCCTAATTTCCTTCACGGAGGGTTCCCTGAGAAGGGCCTCTCCCGTAGATCTCAAGGGGCGGGCGGGCGGGCGGGCGTATATGGATGTAAGCGCTCCTTCAGGTAACCAGGACCCAAGCCGTTTAGGGCTTTCTAGGTCATCACCAACACCTTGAATTGGGCCCGGACTTCGATGGGGAGCCAGTGAAGCTGACGGAGGACTGGAGTCATGTGAACATAACCTCCAGTCCCCATCAGGAGCCCTGCAGCTCTATTTTGAACCAGTTGAAGTGTTCGGACCGTCTTCAAGGGCAGCCCCACGTAGAGTGCGTTACAGAAGTCAAGGCGGGAAGTCCGGTGCCGCGGACTCAGGACGCTCGCTGCCGCTTGGCCACCCTCACAGGGCCCTTGTGGGACACCGCGGCGGCAGGGTGGAATGGGAGAAGTGGCGGCTGAATTTGCACACAGAGGGATGCCTCTGTTCATACATCTTTGGGCACGGGATAAAGCTGCCCCTGAGGAACCGCTGCCTGCCGTGTGGAGCTCCTGGCGGAAATCTGGGTGGCCCGAGAGGGTTGGGACCCGGAAGAGGGATAAAGATGCTGTCCTCCTTTTTTTCCTCCCCAAGGCTTCAAGCGGTGGCTGGGCCCGGCTCAGACGTCACCCCGGAAACAGCAGAGCTGCAGCGGTAAGAGGGCCCCCAGCCGACGTCCATTCTCTGGACGTAAATAGCCAATATTCTCTGCTCAGAGGCTGCACTTGCTCTTGGAAAACCTGCCCCTTCCCCCTAGGTGTCTGTGCAGGCCTGGGTAACTGCTCGAGCGTCAGCGAACTCTTCACATGCTCAGAGGCACAGTCGTCCAGGCTTCAGTTTCTGGGCCTGCGCCCTGGGTTGGAGCTGAGCTTTGCTTGTAACGTCCTTAGCCACCCCTCCCCATCAGGCAGTGGGGTCCTGGGGGAGAGGCAGGGCCCAGAAACTGTTCTCCCCAGCCCAGTGGGCAAGAGACCTCAGTCCCACTCTCTACTTTAGCCGTGGGCTCCGGTGGCTGCCGAGTGGCTCGCGTGGCCAGGGCGGAAGGGCAGCGGTTCCTCTGAGGAAGGCCCTGCTGTTTTAATCCGCCCTGGGCAGTGTGTCCACCTGGCCGCCCGAGACGGGCCTTCGCCCGGGCCCAGTGGGGACAGATCTTCACGTGTTCCTGACGGGGAGGGGGCGAGACGTCTGTGCCCTTGAAGGATGACTTGGCCTTGTTTGGGTCTCGGCTGCGCTGCTGGCCGGATTAGCGGCGGGGGCTGCCGGGGCACGTGGCTTGGCTTGCTCACACGAGGGAGTTGCGGAGCCGTTTGCTCTTCTGGCCCCGCTCTAGCACGGCACCTGCTCTAGGCTCCGCGTGCATCTCGGGGTTGAGGCTGGGCTGGCGGCCTCCTTGGCCGGCCGCGGGAGAAATCGTGCTCAGCTGTTCAAGTGCCTGATCTCAGAGGGGAGGGGGAGGCACTCTGTGCGTGCTCATGGGCTCTGCGCATTAAAGGGCCGACGGAGTCCCGCAATGGACGATGAGGTGCTCGGAAGCCCATTCCTGAATCCCAGAGTGGAGAAGCGGAAGGAAGCCGGTCCGGCCGCAGATTCAGGCCTCCAGGCAGCAGAAGCCCCTTTTATGCACACTGCCAGCTTAGCCTGGGGCCCTCCGGCCATGGGAGTAGTTGGGGCCCCCCCAAAGAGTGGAGCCTCCAGGTTCGGCAGCAGTCTACCTGGGGCCAAGGACCGGGCAGGGGCGTCCATCGCCGTTGCCTCCTCGGGGGCTTCCCATTGCAGGAGATCGGCCCTGGCCGGGGCTGAGGTGGGGGCCCCCGGCGTTGCCCCTCCCCTGACGTGGGAGGGGGCTGCCGGGGGGGCGGCGTTCGTGGACCGGCTTGTCTCTGTCCCCCCACAGAGCCCTGGGGTCCGTGCTGTGGTCCTGGCTGGATGGCTACCCTGACGACTTCGTGGGGCTGGAGCCCGGCCTCCGCGGGCAGCTGCTGGGCTGGCTGCGGTGGGCGCTCGGGGACGGCTCCGAGCCCGAGAGGATCCTGGCTGCATCCGCGGGGGAGAGGGCCCCGCCGGTGACCCCGGAGGAGGACGCAGGCGCCGCGGGCGATGGGGAGGCCGACCCCCACTACATCCTGGGCCTCCAGGCGGAGGACGTGGCCGCCCACCTCACCGCGCGGGATGCCGTGAGTGCCGGGGCCGGGCCGGGCCGGGGCAGCAGCGTCCCACGCGGCAGGGAAGACCCCGGGGCTGGCTTGCTGCAGGCCAACTGCTGGCCCATGCAGGGCAACGGGAGCCAGGCGGGGGGCCGAGCCGTGGCCCCCCCCGCCCCGCCCATCCTGATGCTCAGTCTGCACCGTGTTTATGCAACGCACCGGTTGCCGTTTGGCGCCGTCAAGTCCGTCCTCCCCAGCGTAGGGCGGCCCTGTGAGTGGGCGTCCCCAGAGTGGCTGGCCCACGACAGCCCCGCTCAGTTCTTCCAAATTTGAGCCCGGGGCTCCCCCAGCGGAGTCCCCCGGCCCCCATTTGGGCTTCACGTCACACGTTGAAGCACGTCCCAGCCTCAGCGAGTTGGGCCGCCGCAGCTCTCTCCCGAGGGGGCCGCTCAGCCGGCAAAGGTGGGGTGCCGCCAGCTTCTCCGCTGTTGGGCCGGCAGGCGTTGTGCTGCTACTGCAGACGTTCCTCCAGCCGTAATCCGCTCCCTTACCTGGACCGATTTAGAAACAGAGCGAGGCAGAAGGAGTCCTCCGGGCCATCTAGTCTGACCCCGGCTCCAGCCGGCTCTGCTCATAGAAACACAGAAACGGAGCGAGTCAGAAGGGGCCTCCTAGGCCATCTAGTCTGACCCCGGCTCCAGCCGGCTCTGCTCACAGAAACATAGAAACAGAGCGAGGCAGAAGGGGTCTCCGGGCCATCTAGTTTGACCCCGGCTCCAGCCGGCTCTGCTCACAGAAACATAGAAACAGAGCGAGGCAGAACGGGTCTCCGGGCCATCTAGTCTGACCCCGGCTCCAGCCGGCTCTGCTCATAGAAACATAGAAACGGAGCGAGTCAGAAGGGGCCTCCTAGGCCATCTAGTCTGACCCCGGCTCCAGCCGGCTCTGCTCAGAGAAACAGAGCGAGTCAGAAGGGGTCTCCCGGGCCATCTAGTCTGACCGCGGCTCCAGCCGGCTTTGCTCACAGAAACAGAAAAAAAGCGAGGCAGAAGGGGTCTCCTGGGCCATCTAGTCTGACCCTGGCTCCAGCCAGCTCTGCTCAGAGAAACATAGAAACAGAGCGAGGCAGAAGGGGTCTCCCGGGCCATCTAGTCTGACCCCGGCTCCAGGCGGCTCCGCTCACATGCCCACCATGTGCATGTCCAGCCTGTCCTTGAACACCCCCACCGAGGGGCCTCAGCGACCTCCCGGGGAAGCCCGTTCCACCCCCTCGGGGTCCTGACTGTCCGGAAGTGCTTCCTGGCATCTAAACCGAACATCTGACCGTCTTAACATCCTGGCAAAGGCAGGAGCAGCTGTGGGGGTCTCCCGAAAGGTTTCCGGTGGGCCACCTCCTCCGGAGCAGTGTTGGGGCCGCCCCGTCCCGCCAAGAGCGTGGACACCCGCCAACGCCTGGATCCCGCGGAAGGAAAGCCGGGCCCCGATCCCCAGCCCAGGCCTTGGGGATCCGCCAAAGCAAGCGCTGCTGGTTGCCGCTGGCCTGTTTCCAAGCGCACAGCAGAAGCTTGCAAAGTGAGGGTCGGTCCTTTGGCTGACGCCGGTGCTGAGAGGACGGGGAGAAGCCCTTGGGTTTAGCGCCCCCAGAAAGCGCCCCCCTCCCTGCCCTTTGGGGCTCTTTTGTCGCCAACACGCCTCCGGTTTGATGTCTTTTTTATTGTTCTGCTTCCTCTAGGGAAAAGCTCTTTCACTGTGCCCCGAAATTTATTTTATTTTTTAGCGCTGTTGATTTAACAGTGCTTTTCGGGCTGTGGGTTTTGAGAAACGCGACTGATATGAGTTGCTGTAAGCAGCCTGCCTAGAGAATCCTTTAAAAATCGTATTTATTTATTTAGAAAATTCGCAGGCCGCCCTTTATTGTCATCTCTGGACAGCTTACAACATTATTTCAATCTTCAATAAAATAAGTTAACCATTCCACACTGAGCATAACATTAATCCATCTAAAATAAGTTCAACACAATGTTAAAATGAATTGTGTTAATTAATTGCTTGTTTAAAATAAATTTATTTAAAATTTATTTAATACTCCAGGGGGTCCTGGAGTATTTATTTAAAATATTTAATAAAACAGTGATTCTTGAAGCAAAGGAGGGATGCACTGTGGAAGCTGAGCTTCTGGCTATGTTCGACGTCTGCAGGATTGTAGGAAAACATGAGATTTGGTCCTGGGTGGTGTGTCGAATCAGAGAAACAAATCTGAGCTCATTCCAAGACCTGTATAAGTTACACGAATCGATCCGTGTGAGGTAGATTCGTCGATTTGGCAGGTTCGATTGGTCTTCCTTCCCCCCAGGAGCTGTTCCTGCGCGTGGTCCCCCATGAGTGTCTGGGGTCCCTGTGGTCGCAGCGGGACAAGAAGGGCCACGAGGGCGACTGCCCCACTGTCCGGGCCACGGTGGCCCAGTTCAACCTCGTGGCCAAGGCGGTCGTCTCCTCCTGCCTGGGGGACACGGGCCTGCGGGCCGCTCAGCGGGCCCGGCTCCTGGAGAAGTGGATCCGCGTGGCGGAGGTGAGGCCCCCGGCCCGGCCCGGCCCCCGAGCGGCCCCCCGAGCGGCCCCCCGAGCGGCACCCAAGCCTCGCCCCTCTCGCCCCAGGAATGCCTCTGCCTCCGGGATTTCTCCTCCCTCTACGCCGTGGTCTCTGCGCTGCACTCCACGCCACTGCACCGGCTGAAGAGGACCTGGGAAGAGATGTCCAGGTGGGGCGTGGGGCCGGGCGGGGCGGAGCGGGGCCCACGGCCCTCCCCAGGCACCCTTGGCACGGCGCGTCCCCACTGTTCTCGCCACCCCCTCGTGAGGCGGAGCTGCTGGCCGTGCCGTCCTCACTCTGAGGTGGCCCCCGGCTGCTCCGGCCTCAGACCAGCTCCAGGGCTGTGGGGCTGGGGGTCCGCCGTCCTGCCTCGGGCCGTTCCCCACGCCCTGCCCCGAGGCGGCCGGGAGGAGCTCCCGGGGGTGGGGAGGGACTGCTCAGTCGGAGGCGAGCAATTGCCCCCTCGCAGGGGGCTGGCCGGCCACCCGGGCCTTGCGCAGGTGCAGGGAAGCGGGCCGGGGTGGCCGCGGCTCCAGGGATCCTCCGGCAGGGGAGCCGCCGAGAGCGCCGTGCCCCAGGTCTCCCCAGCCTCCCACGGGGTCCCCAAGTCCCCAACTTCCCAGAAGGGTGGCTGCCCCTTCTCCTCTGCTGGGTCCCCCCCGCCCCCCCCGCCCCCCCCCCCCGTGCAGCTCCTCTGTCCTCTCGCCCCCAGGGACTCCCTGCGCTGCTACGAGGCGCTCAGCGCTGTCTGCTCGGAGGAGGACAACTACAGCCAGACCCGGAGGCTCCTCTTTCAGGTGGGGGACCCCAGCCCACGGCAGACACGGGGGCCCGCAGCGCAGGGGCACCCCCTCACGCGTGGGGCAGGCCCGCCGGCTCCCCCCAGTGCAAGGGGCGCTGAGCGGGGAGGGGCTCCGGGGAGCGAGGCGGTGGCTTCGGGGGTCCTGGAGTCACTTGGGGTTCTTGGCCGGGGGAATTGGAGCGGTTGAGGAGGGAGCACAGGCCGGGGTGGGGCGACGTGGACAGCTGCCTGGGGGGCTCTCCTTCGCAAGGCATGAGTCATGAGGGCTAGCAACTTGGATGCTTTTGGTTTATTTTTAAAGTGGCTTTTCACTAACGAACCTTTCTGAAATTCTGGATCCTGGCCTGTTTGGGTGAGGGAGGGCAGCGTGGCAAGCCCAGTTGGGCAGTTCAGGCCGGGGCTTCCTTCCGGGGAGGCGCAGTAGCCGCCCGGCCTTGCTCAAGGGGAGACCGCACGCCCTTCTCCACTCAGCCCCCCGCTCTCTCTCTCTCCCCCCACATCCCCCTTCGCCCCATAGGAAGGCGGCACGGAGGACCCCACGGCACGGAGGCACCCGCGGAGAGCGCCGGAGCAGCGCCCGATGGTGACTGGCCACGGAGGCCCCGTGTCTCCGCGAACGGGAGCCGGGCTGCGGGAGGGGAGGGCGTGGGCCGCGGGGGTGGCGGGGAGCGTGGGCCACGGGGTGCCGCGGTCCTGCCGCTTGGCGGCCTTCTCGTGGGCACCGGCTTTGGGGCGGCCCAAGAGTGAAGTACCGTAACGAAGCAGCCTCTCGGGGGGGGGGGGGGGGGGAGCGCTGCTGTGCCACCGGCCGGCTGGGCTAGGGGGGCGCTGGTCCGATCCGGCCCGGGGGCTCCTGTCCCCCTCACTCCCCCCCGCTTCCCCTCCCCACCTCAGGGCGTGGTCCCCTACCTGGGCACCTTCCTGAAGGACCTGGTGATGCTGGACACGGCCACGCGGAACCGGCTGCAGGTGAGACGGGGCGCAGGCGCGGCCCCCCCTGGGCAGGCCTGGGGCTCGCGTGCGGCTGCTTGCAGTGGGTTTTCGGGTCCGATTCGCCTCCCACGCTGGTTGCAGAATCGAGCCGTGGAGCAGCATGGAGGCCGCGATGAGCTGGAAGGGGCTGTGTTGCCCAGCGAGTCCAGCTCGCCTCCATATTTTTCTTTTTAAACGCATCCACCTGCAGTGGGTCGCTGCCCGCAAGGACGCTGCCACCCCGAGCGTGGGTGGGCAGGATCCTGAGGGCCACCCGAAACAGAGGCAGGTGGCCGCAGAGCTCTCTACGAGGAGGAGCGTCCCGGCCGGGGTGCCACCACCGAGGAGGCCTTGCCGCTGGCGCCCCCGGGGGCGCGGCTCATTTCTCCTTGGGGGGCTCTCTTGCCCTGCTTTTGGACTCCCAGGGCTGCTCCGAACCAGCAGCACTGCGGCGGAATCGGGGCTGCCTCCGTGCGCCCCTCAGTCCATGCACTGCTCGGGTGTGGGGCCCTTGCGCCGAGCGTGTGTCAACCGCTGGGCTTGGTGTGGGGACAAGCCCCATGCAGGGCAGGGCAGGGCTGGGTCGGTGCCCTGGAAGGCCCCCCACGGTGGTTTGGCTGCTCTTTTCCATTCGCCGGAGCCCTGGATCCGCGCGACGTGGGGCAGAGCGGCCCCTGGCTCTTGGCAGCCGGGAACTCGCGGAAGCGGGGCGGGCGAAGCATCACCCCACCGGTGTGGCTGCGTGAAAGGGCAGGCCTGCTTTGGGGTTGGTTTCCTTCTGTGAGCCGCTCCGTCCGGCTTAACGCGCCTTTGGCCCTGCCTTGCGGGACAAGCTGCACCCTTCACCGCCGCGGTTTCTCCCTCTGTTTCTGCAGAACGGGTACATCAATTTCGAGAAGCACCGCAAGGTGGGTGCGTAGGGAGAGACGGGAGGGCGGTGGGTGGGGGGAGGCGGGCGCCCCCTTCCCGGCGTCCGGGGCTGACGGACGCCCCGTCCCGTCCCCTTGCCGCCCCCGCAGGAGTTCGAGATCCTGACGCAGCTGCGCCTCCTGCAGGCGAGGTGCCGCAACTACGCCCTGAGCCCCGACCGTGCGCTCCAGACGTGGCTGCGGCGCCTGCCCCAGCTCAGCGAGGTCCAGAGGTGGGTGTCGCGGGGGGGGGGGGGCGGCCGGCGGGGTGCCGCCTCTCGCGACCCGAGGCTCACGTGGCTCCTTCTCCCCGCAGCTACCAGCTGTCCTGCGCCATCGAGCCGCCGGCAGAGGGAGCCACCCCCGGCAAGCCCACGCGGCCCGCCCTGGTGATCACGCACTGCACCGAGTGAGAGATGGGGCCGGGGGCCGCCCCGTGGCCCACCCCGGTCCCAGGGCTCGCTGCAGGCGCTCGGCCGAAAGGGGGCCGTGCTGTGGAGGAGGGATGGGCGGGGGGCTGGGAAGGGGCGCAGGGACCCCTCTAACCCGCCCGTTCCTGCAGCCTGCTCACCTCCGTCGGGATGAGCACACCTGTCTCCTGGGAGGGACCCAGCTCCTGCCACGCTCCGCCGGGCCTGCTGACACCCCCATCGGCCTCCGCCTCCTCCCCGGGGCAAGCGCACCTGTCCCAGGTGACTGGGAATGTGTGTGTGTGTGTGTGTGTGTGTGTGTGTGTGTGTGTGTCGGGGGGGGGGCCACGGGCTCCCCGTATGCCTCCCTGCCTCATCCTCTGGGCTGTGATTCCTAGTGGGGGCTGCAGGAATGGCTGAGAATCTGCATGCCTTCTGTAATCCCACTGCGGAGTGGTCTGGATTTTGACGTGTAGCCCCCGTTGGGACTCCCCTGCCCAAATCCCGCAGAACTGGATGGAGCTGTTTCCTAATTCACAAACCGGGCTTGAGCAAAATCAAGTTCCCAGGGGCTTGCTCCCCAGGTCAGCCTTGTTTCAAATTGATCTATGAATGATTTAAATTGATAGGGTAATTTTGGTGTGACTTGCTGTCCTGCAACAGCAGGGGTTGGGCTTGATGGCCTTCATGGCCCCTTCCAACCCCTCTGTTCTGTGATTCTGTTATGACTTCATATCGGGCTGTTCACAACGCCGAGACTCGGTGCGCTCCCCAACGCTCCCCGTGACGATTTGGGCCAGGCGTGGGCCTCCCTGTGAGGTGTCGTTGGTGAGCCGTGGGGGTTCAGGGTTGCCCTTTCTCAGCCTGCGATGTTTGGGCTCCCCAGTCCTGCTCCCTGAGCATCCCTGACCTCCGTGTGACCCCCCCTCACATGCCTGCATGTTGCCAACAGCCCCCCTCTGAGCCGCCTCTTCTCCAGGCTGAAGAGACCCCGTTCCCTCAGCCTCGCCTCAGACGGCTTCCCCTGCAAACCGGCCACCAACCCTGTGGCCCTGCGCTGCACTGACTCCAACCTGGCTGTATCCTTCCTGTAACGAGGGGCCCAAAACTGAACACAATACTCCAGTTGCGGACGCACCAGAGTCGCATAGAGTGGCAGTAATACCTCTCTCGGTCTAGAAGCCACACTTCTGGCTCTGCAACCAAGGGTGGCGTTCGCCCTCTTGGCCACCGCATCCCACGGCTGGCTCACGTTCAGCCTGCAGTCAACCAGCACCCCGAGGTCCCTTCCACAAGTGCTGCTCTCCAGCCACTTGCCCCCTAACCTGTGCTTATGACACCCATTCCTACGCCCCAAGTGCACTTACCTTGCACTTACCCACATGGAACGCCATCCTGTTGTCTCCTGCCCACTTCCACAGTCTGCCCAGATCTTTCTGGATCCAGAGTACCTGCTCCTCCGGTCAGGTCCAGATCAAGTCCGCCCTTCAGCTCCGGTGTCGTACATGCAGGGCAGGGGGTCTTTTTCAAAGCGGGGTGCTGCTGGAGTTGCCCTGGGGGCTTCCATGGGCCAAGGGGGTGCTCGGCCGCTGTGCCGGCAGCCTTTCTAACCCTGCTTATTCTGACATACGAGACGCCCACCCCTCCCCTCCCCTCCCCTCCCCTCCCCTCCCCTTTAAATCAACAGGTCTTGTGAATTTGATTTGCGTTCGAATTCTGTTTTCAATCTGGTGGGGTGGGGCTTACGTTTCCTGTTCTCTGGATTTTTACACTGCATTTTGTTGTACTTCATCTGCTGCTGTAGAAGCAGCAACTTACTAGCTGGGTGACGCAGGTGAGGGTCTCCGCAGCCCCCCCCCCCGCTCACCCCCTTTTCCTTCCTCCCCAGCAGGCGAAGTGGCCCTCGGTCTCGTCGCTGGATGTGGCCCCCGAGAGCACCGTGCCCCCCTCTCCGGGGGGGCTCGCCCCCCCTCCCACCCCCGGGGGCTGCTTCACCAGGGGGCACCGGCGCTCGGCCTCCTGCGGGTCGGCCTACCCCACGGCCCCCGAGCCGGGCAGCGCCTCGGCCTCGGACTGCCGGATCATCCGCGTGAGCATGGCGCTGCACAACGGCAGCCTCTACAAGAGCATCCTGGTGAGCGGGCAGAGTGCGGGCTGGGGGGGGCACGCTGGGGGGCCCCTCGCCGAGAGCTGGGGGGGAGGGGTTGCCACGGGCCATTCTGGCCGGAGAGCAGCTGGTGTGGACCCAAAGCTGGAGGGCCGTGGGTGGCCCGGCCTGGGCTCCGGGTGGCCACTTTTGGAGCGCTGCTGGAAAAGGATTGCAACCTTCGGTTGGACCGAAATGCAACGTCGGGTAGCGGTGCTGTGGGGCGGGCCACGAGCCCCACAGCGGGAGCAGGCGCGAGGCAGTGCTGGGCCATGGCATCCAGGCCATCCAAGGCAAGGCCTGCCGGCCCGAGCCCGCCTCTGTGGCTTGTTTGTCGCTGCCGCCCGCAGGTCACGAGCCAGGACAAGGCCCCCGCCGTGATTGCGAAGGTGCTGGAGAAGCACGGCCAGGATCGGGGCCAGGCCCCCCAGTATGAGCTGGTGCAACTCCTGCCTGATGGCCGAGGTGGGCCAGGGGGTACACCGAGGGGACGGTGGGGTGGGGTGGGGTGGGGTCTTGCGGCCAAGTAGGCAGGGGAGACCTCCCGGGCCCCTTCCGGCCCACCTGGGAACACCACCGCCCCCCGTCCCCAAAGACCTGCGTTGAGTCAGATCGGACTCCCACATCGCGTCTGGAAACGGGCATTAAATCGGCGCTGGCTTTCCACGCGCTCCAAGGCCGCCGCCCTTGTGATGTGCATGTGGGGGAAGCTGCCGTGGGGAGCCGGCCTGCAGCGAGCCTTCCTCGCCCCCCTCCCGCGGGGCCTCTTTCTGAAAAGCCTTTGGTGTCCCGCTGCCGACGAGCAGAGGAAGCAAGGGTGAAATCGCCATCTCTCTTCCCCTGCCTCCTGCAGAGCTGGCCTTCCCGCCTCTGGCAAACGTCTTCTACGCCATGAACGGCTCCAGCCTGGACTTCATGCTGCGGCCCAAGCGGCCCCTGGACAGCCCCCTGCCGCCCCCGCCCCCAGCGCCCGCGCCCCGCGGGGTGGAGCTCAGCGCCACCTTCCCCAAGATCAAGGCCACCGGCCGCAAGATCGCCAGGGCCCTCTTCTGAAGCCACGCGGGCCGGGCCGGGCCGGACTGGCAGGGGGCCCTGTTGCCGCTCGTGGCCGCACGCCAGTTTCCGCGAGGCCCCGACGCGACGTGCCCGGCACCCCCTCCGCGTCGTGGGCGAAGCAGCCCCGCTGGAGACGCCCTCGTCGCGCCCCGCTGCCAGAGGCCTGGGGCTGCCCCGCGCGGGGACCGATTTCCGGAGAGACCGCCTGCGCTCAGGCTGCCCCACGTGCTCCGCCGAGTGATGCCTGGGAGGCCGCCCCGCATGGCGGGCAGGAGCGGGCCTGGGACTCCTGGAGGGGGGCCTGCACGCGGAGCAGGCCCCTGGGCTTTCCCACCGTGTGGCAAGCTCAGCAGCAGCCCGGCCGGGTCTCTGGGCTGCCGGGTGGCAACAGAAGGGCCTTTTCTGGCCTCCATGCTGGGGAGGACCCCCAAGCTCGCGTGGCTGGCGCGTCCCTCCGGTTCACGTCTCAGCACCGCAGAACACTAATCCCGGAGGGCGCCCCACGCGGGGAAGGGCCCCTCCTCTTCCTTTGGAGTGCAGGTGCCAGGCCGGATGGGGCCCAAGCCCACGCCAGTCCGGTGGCGTTCACAGCGGCCAGCCAGAGGCCTGGGGAGGGACAGCGGGGCCGGCGGCGCCCCCCTGCTGGTGCGTCCAGCCACATGGGGCGGACGCACCTGGCGCACCGCTCAGACGAGGCCCCGCACTGGCTCCGGCGTGCCTGCCCGCAGGCGGGGGGCCCCTGCTCTTGCTGCCACTGGAAGGGGCGAGGGAGGGCGGGCCTGATCCAGGAGGGCGCCTCCAAGCGATGCCACACAAGGCATTTCCGCTGTGATTTCCCCTCGCCCCAAAAGCCAGGGGTTCTTTGGGTGCCGCCACGGGCCAGGCCGGAACGCACCTCGTGCCGGCGCGTCCTGCCTCACCTCGCCTCACCGTTCGAGGCTTCCGCCTTGGTGGGCCCCGGAAGCTGCTTCAGCCTTGCAGGGAAGAGCAGCTCAGGGACCACCTTGCCTCCGACTCCCCCCTTTTGAGAAGCAAACCAGTTTCCAGGAAAAGTTAAATATTTGTGTAAGCCTCCTTTTTTATACAATAAAGGCAAAACAGAAGCCGTGTGGTGTGGCGTTTTTGTCCCTTTGGGAGCAGTCTGTCCAGCTGCTGGTCCCGCGACCCAGCATTCGGCCTTGGAGCGTGGCTGGGAGCTCCAGGCTGCTTCTCAGCCAACTGGGCCCAGCCGGCGGCTTGCAAGGGGCCACGGCTCCGGGACACACTCCCCTTGGCGAGCAGGTGGGAGGGGAGCCCTGCAGCGTGCCCAGCCGCCGCTTCCGCCCGCCCGCAGCACCCGAGGGGACCCAGCCGGCCACCTGCCCGCCCTCCAGCTGAGCGGCTCGCCCTCGCATGCTGTGCCACACCTCGGAGACGGCCCTTCGTGGGGAGAGGCGGGTCACGCGTGTGTTTCGGCAAGCCTCCCGTGAGGCTGGTGGCCCTCAGGAGGGATGGCCCCACGCCCCGCTGGCACGCAGCCCTCGTCCGTCCGAGTGATGGGGGCGGGCAGGTCATGGAGGCGCCTCTGAGCCTGCATGGGGGGAGGGCTCTGCGGCACGGTGATTCGGGCCCGGCTCCAGCTCCTCTGTGGGGCTCGTTGCGGGTGCCTGCGCCTGCCTTTCCCCAGCAGGGCCTCTCCCCAGCCCCGGCCCCGCACCCTGGCCGCAACGCCACATGGGACCCTCCCCTCACTCCCGATTTAACGACCGGGGGGCAGGCGAGCCCCACAAGGCCGCCGACCACGAAGGGCACATAGAAGCGGGCGCCAGCCGAGCCGAGGGTGAGCGAAAACCCCACCTTTATTTCAGAGCGGCCAGGCACGGGGGCAAGGGGGCCCGAGTGACCCGCCCCCCACAGTCCCGCTCCGTGGGAGCCCCGGCACGGCCCCCGGGTCAGGCCTTGGCCACCACCTTGGCCTGGGCTTTCTGGAACTCCTGCTGCAGGCGCGCCAGCGTCTCCCGCTGCTGCTCCGACCGCTTCTCGTACTCCTGCATCTGCCCCTCGTACCGCTTGCTGCAAAGACACGGGGGGAGGATTTCAGGGCCGCTTTCCTCCTGACCGCAGGGGCGCTGCACAACCTGAGCAGGGCCAGCCCGGACCCCCGTAAAGGACACCACAGCAGGCTGCCCCAGCCAGGGCGCTGGGGCTTCCGGGGCAGAAAACCGCCTCCGTGGCCTGGAGCTGCCTCCACTGGCAGCTTCTCCAGCAGGTAAACCGAGGGAGAGGGAGCGGCTCTTGGGCCAGCAGCTGGAAACCCGTGACTTCCCCCGCTTCCCTCCCCAGTCTTTTTCCTTGTGTGTAACGTCTCTCTGGATCGTGAGCTGAGGCTGGGGACTGTCGTGTTAAATGGATTACATGCCAACTCCTCCAGGGGCCTTTTGGGAAAAGGAGCAGGATAAAAGAGCAGGATAGAAATTAAATGATTCAACCCTAAGTATAAGTTGAACCTGCACTGAGCAGAAAAATCCACACATCTCAGACTCCAGTGCTTCACAGATAACAAACTTTCTGATTGCTTAAAATCCATGGAGAAAATCCCTCTGGTTTCTAAACCCTTCCCACACGGGCAGGATCTTCCCGCTGGCTGGAAAACCAAAACATTTGTAGAATCTTTGTTCGGAAACTCTGCCCCAATGGGGCCCAGAGAAAGAAGCTGCTGCTCCACGAGCTGAATGCAACATTTCCCGAGGCTTTTTTGCAGGGGAGCCGAACAAACCGCTCAGCCCCCATCTTGAAGCCTGATGCCAGGCTGCAGACACGAAAAGGTTAGAATGGCTCCTGGCGGGCCAGAAGCCTTGCGGATCGGCCCAAGCCCCGCAAGACTCCCCCGGGGCGCACGCCTCGGGGGTTTCTTTGGCCAAAGCTCTGGAGAAGGAAAGGTGGTCATGCCAAGGCTGAATTTTATCCTCACAGCTCTGGGACCAAGACGGAGGGGACCTGGAATGCCTCAGAGCATCCGGAGGCGATGCTTCTCCTTTACTTTTTCCAGTTGCATTTTATTTTTTATTTTCCGATTTACATCCTGCCTTTTTCCTACCAAGGGCTCAAGGCAGCTTGCATCATTCTCCTCCTCCGTCTTATCCCCACAACAACAACCCTGTGAGGTAGGCTGGGCTGAGAGTCTGTGACTGGCCCAAAGTCACCCTGTTGGCTCCATGGCTGATCAGGGACTAGAACCCAGGTCGCCTGAGTCCCAGTCCCACGCTCTTAACCACTACACCACACTGGCTCTCCTGTTTTGTATTCCTGTTTTATTTTTTTTCTAAGTTGCCTCTTGGGGCAGCTCTCTAAAGAGAGAGAGATGCTCTTTGGTACTAAGAAGATCCAGGAAGGAAGGCAGATGCAGAGGGGAGAAGGCCTGGAGGGGCTCCATTTGCCTGGGCCCTGTGGGTGGGCTGGCTCTCCCCTCTGCGGTGGGCGGAAGAGGCTCGGGACTTTTCATGGGGGAGGAGGCGGGGGCTGGAACTCTTCAGCTTCCCTCAGCCTTCCCCATTTCTGAGGGGCAGTGGGGCACCCAATTCTCAGAAATCCAGCATGGGACCTCCTAGATTGGCTCCACAGCCGGTTCGCGTGTGTCCGTTTCGGAGAGGGCGAGGAAGGACTCAAACGTCCCATCCTGGACAGACCGACAGTCTGGGGCAGGGATCTCCTTAGAACTTCTCAACCTCTGAAGAGCACGGTGGGGCAGGAATGCGGAAAAGGCGGGAGAGGAGCACGGGGCACGACTTCCTATGGCTTCTGGCCGCTGGGCTCTTCCTGGCCTTTCCTCTCTGGAGGGCGGTGGGAGGGGTTTGGCTTCCCGCTGTTCCTGAGCCAGGCCTCGGGTGCGCCAGGTGCCTCTTCCAACTGCTGGGACAGGCCCTGTGTCTCTCCGGGCACACCTGACAACAGCTAACCGAGCAGGCTGTCCCATGACCGTGCAGCGGTTTGGCAGGGCACCCCCGCCTCCTCCTCCAATCTGCTGCTTCCACGGGCGAGCGACGTGATGAGGACCTTCTGAAGTTGGAGCGTGGCAGAACTGATTTGGGGGGGGGGTAAAGAGTCTTTCTGGGCTGCCTTTCACGGCGGGACCCTCTCAAGCCACACAGAAGCCACGTGGCTGGGCTGGGCCCCCGAAACGGAGCCTGCCAAGGGCTCCTTCCCAGAGGCTGGAAGGGCCTGCAGTGGCGAGCGCTTTGTCCAGGAGAGGCGCGAGGCCCTCTGAGGGGAAATGCTGGGTGGGGGCAGTGTCCGAGCCAAGGACGCCGTCCCTCTGGGGCAGGAAGTGCCAGCCTCGCCTCGCCCCAGCCTCCGCACCGGCCACTGCGGGAGGTGCCCTCCTGACTGAGGGTGGGGAGGGGAGTCAAGCGGGGGGCCCTGCCTGCGACGGGCTGCAGCCCCTTCCTCATGACCGGACCAGAGGCCTCCCACAAGGCTGCAACCCACCCGCAACCCTTCCGGGCAGACTGCCAAGTCGCGCCCGTGGCTCTCGGCTTCCAGAAGAGGGACTCCCTGGAAAGGATGGGAACGGCAGTCCAGCGCGTCCAGAGGGAAAGGCTTGGGGGAGGCTTCCCAAGGAGCCCCTCCTCTGGAGAGAGGAGCCACAGGGGGCCCCACTGCACGAGCCCCCCGCCCAGCGGACTCACATTTCCCCCGTGATGTAGTCCAGCCTCTTCCCGACAGTCGCCTTGGCCTCCTCCGTGTCCTGCTTCACCAGCACGGGCCCGATCAGCTTGTAGACCGAGTTGGAAGCGTCCAGGAAGTCCAGCTCCTGCGGGCGCAAGCACGGGGGGCAGCTGCTTGAGCGTGGCAGCAGGGCAGTCGCTGCGGGGGGGGCAAGCTGAGGGAGACGTTATCCACAGGGGGCGGGGGGGAGCGCACTCACCTCCTTCACGACGTTGTTCTCCGTCAGCTGAGCCTCCAGCTTCTGCCGGGCCGTCATGCACTTGCTGATATCTGGAAATGGAAATTGGAAAGCAGGTTTCCCTCTCTCCCTTCCTTCCTGGAAACCGAGGGGGCTTGGAAGCAACTGACCGATACACTACTCCAGAGTGTATTTATTCTGTTTAAAATGTTTCTGCACCTCTGTTTTTCCCGTTACCAAGTTCGGGTCCAGAGCAGTTCAGGCAATTCCCATTTGCAATAAAAAACCAAAATACTCATAGTGTTCGTAGTTATATACCAAACAAGAACTATCACCTTGCTCTGGCCCCACAGAGCCCTCTCCCTGTGTCTTGACATTTACGCTCCCCTTTTAAGTGACTAGCTGCCGATCTTTGATGGGTTTCTTAAAAAGTCTATTTTTAAAATGACTTGGACATGTTTGGAGGCTGCCCTGGGAAGCACAGGTACCTGGCCATCTCTTCTGACTGATGATGTTACACAGACCTGGAGGGGAGGGGAGAGGAGGGAGGATGCAGGCAGAACTGGGAAGCGTCTGGATAAGTCTTAGAGGAGGGAAAGCTCCCAGATGCTCTTGCAAAAGCCCGGGCCCAATTCAAGGTGTCGATTATGACCTATAAAGCCCTAAACGGCTTGCGTCCGGGCTACCTGAACGAGCACTTACGTCCGTATATGCCCAATCGCCCTTTGAGATCTGCGGGAGAGTCCCTTCTCCAGGAACCCTCCATGAAAGAAATTAGGAGAGTAAGTACCCGGAGGAGGGCTTTCTCTGCGGTGGCGCCCAACCTATGGAATTCACTCCCCAAAGAGGTCCGCCTGGCACCGTCGGTACTGGTTTTTCGGCGCCAGGTAAAGACCTTTTTATTTAAACATCATTTTAATTGTTAAAACATATGATCTGGCCAGGGCAACTTCTTCTTCCTTCTCTTTTCTCCTCCTATATTATTTATTTGCTTATTTTATACTGATAATTTTAATTGTATATTATTACGTTTGTAACTCAGTGTATTTTTGTATTTAATGGTACTTTATTATGTTCTATTGTATTTCAATGTATTTTATTGTGTTTGTAAGCCACCCCGAGGCTTCGGCAAGGGGCGGCATAGAAATGTTATAATAATAATAATAATAGGAGGTTCTTACCTTTCTGCAGCTGCTGGTATTTCTCCAGCTCCCCCTGGAGCTTCTTCTGCAGCACCTCAGCCATCGTCTCCCGGAAAGCTTTTTCTCTGCGGAGGAACGAAGATACGGCTCACACGCTGCAGGCGGAAGGCCCACCGGTAGCTCAGCGGCAGCACTGCGGTCCTGCCCGAGGGAGGCCCACGATCGACCCTGTTGGAAGGCGGCTGAGAGGAGCGCTCTGAGCCCCGCAGAGCCTCTGTAGACACAAGCGGCTTAAGAGGACGGCAGGTTCCCAAAGGCTGCCAGCACCCTGATGCTTTGGGGGGGGGGGGGGCAGCACTGCCCCGCAGCCCCACCGAGCGCAAGGCGAGAGATGCCGCCAGGCGGTCCGCTCAGGACACCGGCCCTCACGGCCGCCTCGCTGCGTGAGCCAAGAGCATGACCGTGCCTGCTCCGTCCACGTGGGGAGCGCCCGGCTGCCGTCCGAGGAAGCGCCCACGGCCACTGTCCGCTTCCCTGGGGAATCGCATCCCGACAGGCTCCCCGAGACACGCTCGGGAGACGTGCGGGCGCTCCTTGCTCTGCGCCTTCCCGTCTCTTCCCCCTGCATCAGGCCGAGGGAGGCCAGCCCGGTGCGGGCTCCGCTTTCCCCGGGGAAGCCTGGAAGGAGAGGAACAGCGGCAGCCCTGCCTGGCAGCTGGGCCCCCGAAGCGTCGCGGCCTGGCCTCCCGCTCCGTCCCCACGCCCCCGCCAAGACACGCCGAGAGCCGCTGGAAGCGAGGCCTGCGCGCAAACCGGGGCGTAGCTGAGCTGCGGGCTCCACTGGCCCGCGAGGGGACGCCGGGCGCCATTCACGGGGCGGCGGCGGCGGCGGTCCGGGCGGCTAGTCCTCATGGCGCCCGGCGAGGCGCGCAGGCCGCCGCGCGTCCCCTCCGGCGCCCCCGTGCGCAGAGGCGCCCCGGAAGGGCAGCGGGCCCCGGACCCCTCGGCGGGGCCAGCCAGACCCGAGGCCGAGCCCCGCAGGGCAGCCGCTCACCGGGACGCCCGCGCACGCCGGGCCGGTACAGCGGAAGGCCCGACGCCGCTTCCGCCCGGCCCCAAGATGGCGGCGGGCCTCGCCTGCCCAGAGCGGCGCCTCGCGGGTGCGGCCGCCCGCGCGGGGGAGGAGCCCTGCGAGGGGCGGCGCGCAGAGATCGGCGAACAGAGCGGCCTTCCGCGGCGGGGCCCGGCGCCTCCGGGTCGTGCGCGGGCGGGCGCGTCGGCCCAGGGCGGCTCGCGGGAGGGGGAGGCACGTGACGGGGAGCGGGGAGGAGGGCGCCGCTCCGCTCCCCCTCCCCTCCCCCCCGCTTGGCCCCCCCGAGCGTCCGTGGGCGAGGGGGGACCTTGGGGGGCCCTTGGGCGAGGGCCCCCGGGGGGGGGGGG